CCTGCTCCACCCCTTCTCGGCATCCAACCCCATCACTGTCCAACCCTGAGACCCTATCCTGTGTGCAAGCCTGGCTCAGTCGGTAGCACTCTCACCTTTGAGTCAGAAGGTTGTCGGTTCAAGCCCCACATCAGACCTTGGTCCCCATATAGTCTAAGCTGACACTCCAATGCAGTTTTGCAAGTGTGCTGCATTGCTGGAGTGACATCCTTCAGATGAAACATTAAACCAAGGCCCTCCGTCTCCCTGTTCAGGTTGCAACATTCAAAAAGTGAAGGGAATTTCTCCCAGTGTCCTGGCCACCACCAATCGCCGAAATAGAATTGGTCATTCACTCCATGGCTGTTTGTGGGACATTGTGGTGCACAAATTGGCTGCTGCATTCACCCACATCACTTTACACTACATCAAATGCAAGAATATAGGAATATTGTTTATTATTAAATGTAAGTCGTTTCTGTGAAACAGGAATCATTCAGAGTAACTGGTAAAACTAGTGTTAAGCTCAAGTGTGTGATGCAAATGAGGGCTTCATTGCCTCAAGCCAATATAGAACTAGGACGTGATATGCAACATGCAGACTTAAACTAAAAGTGCAGCACCATTTTGGAAAATCAGAATCTATGAAGCCTATGCTCCATTCAAATGTAAAGCTTTAAAAGTTCATTCAATAAAGCTTGGCTACAGCCAATTTTATATGCTATTGAATTTCTCCTCGCATTCCCCCTCACCCATACACACAAAAAAAGGAACTAGTCAAAGAAATGCAAAACGTGAACTTTTGTAAGTCACACTGAAGCCTAGTGAAGGGTCACTGTGCTGACACACACTTTTTGCTTGTGGTTAAACACTCCTCCACCACTCTGTCAGAAACTATTGCATTCAATTTTGTACATGAAGGATTATCAATGATTACTATAAACAGACATCTACAACTTCCTACGACACAATCCCTTTTTAATCACATAAGAATAATCCCTAATCACGTCATCAGTGGACAGACGGGGATCAGCATTTACAGTATTTACTTGACATTTTGTTTCACTTTTTAATTTGGAGTGGATCGGAAGCAGCAATAAGGACAAACAGGAAAAGCAGGCATTTGTTAACACATACACTATGCTAATCACAAAAAACACATAGCTCACACAGCAAACAATCCAAATAAGGAAAACATGTTGTTTCTTTTGGTATTGATTGCCTGTGGAAAGTTAAAGGTCCCATGAAACTATTTAAAAACAGCAACTTGTATTTATAATAGCACCCTTTATGTGAGTAGCATCTCAGAGCATTTAACAGCAGTGTGGTTTGGTGCTGAGCTGGAAAGAAAAGAGAAAAAGCACAGTTGAAGAGGTGTGATTTGAAGACAGGTAAAGAGGGGGCAAGAAGAGGGATTGAGGCTGAGAGTTCCAGAGATTCAGGACACAGTGGCTAAAAGCAAAAAAAAGAGAAAAGTGAAGAGTTCCTTCCAGTGTTGTGGCCAACAATCCCCAAATAAAAATCAGTCATTCACTTCATGGCTGCTAGTAGGACTTTGCTGTGCAATTTTTTTCACCACATTTGCCTATAAAATAGTCACACTTTTACAGTAAAGTCCAATGAAGTGCTTTGAAACATCCTTCCAACATGAAAGGAGCTATATAAAATGCATGAATTATTATTATAACTACTTTTAGCTGCACTGTTCAAAGATTGTATTGAAGAAAAGAGAAAGAAATGAAAGAACAAAACTAAAAGTATAAGAAAATCTGGAAGACAACACACCCACACCCTCCACCCCTAAACAGGGCCGAGAGCGATTACGAAAACACATTGCAGTTACACAAGCCTGTGCAGTAATTCCACATATATGCTGAGACCAAAGTCATGAAAGTTAATTGGATTCACATTTATTCAATAGAAGGTTAAAATAACATGGCAACATTATGTATAGGACCAACAGTACCCAATGGTAAAATATCTTCCATCAAATTGCCTTTACTTTTGCTTTTCCAAACAGCATTGCTTCCTCTCATTACAAGATTATTATACAACATTCACACTTTTTTTAAAATCCTTTGGGGGGTGTGATTTTGTTTTCACCCAGCAAATTTGTACTGCAGAATATCAGTGTTGACCCCATATACAGTATAACAGGCTACACAGTCATCGATCACTAACACTAGACCTCAAACAGATCACGAGAGGTCAAATAAATTTGCCACCATTTGATCACACCCACCTACCCTTTTCCCATTACAACCTCAAGCTATTTATTAAAACAGCTCCAAGTATACTTGCCATTATCACTGCCCTGTTAAACAATTCCAGCTGTTATTACCTTATGCGTAAAGAAATACTTCCTGTTGTCTGTCCAAACATTGTCCTTCACTACCCTGACCCTGTGCACCTTGCTTGCCCATTGCCTTGCCGTATCTGAAAGTATTGTTCTGGGTTATTCTTATGCAGAACTGTGGGGTCCTTTGGGACATATCCTTTCAGGGATAAAGAGCCCTAAATTTATCCTATCATTTCTCATCTGCAGGTGATTGTTTCATTAACAACAACAACAAGATTACATTTGTATAGGGCCCTTTCACGTCGGGACGAGGTTTGTTTTGTTTTCTGAGCAGCCTCACAGGAGGACGGCAGAGGACGTCAGAGGACGGCAGAAGAAACCACCATAGACATCTCCGACCCAAACTCTGATGAATGTGCTCCTGGCCCCAGGTGCTATGCTCCAGCAATCAACGCCAATGAGAAAGTACTCAGTCCGGAAGTGTTAATATCGTTTGCATGGGTGCCCGGGTTGAGCAAGACAGTCACGTAGAACTCATCCAGACTCAGGGGACAGAGTTTGTAACAGCATCCTACAAAAATCTACAAGGAGAGAAGTTTCTTCACAAGAACCAACTCACTCACGAGACCCTGCTCGGTTTTGCATCCCTTCCTGAGCCACCTGCAACTATCGCAATGTCATTTCATACTGTTATCGCTCTTCAAAATGAGATTATCCATATCGAGATACTCTTCATACAGTGATCGCTCTTCATAGTGAAGTACTGCCTGCTAAGATGTCCCTGCCTGCCGCCCAGCATGTATTCAGCAATAATACTGCGTGTTTCTGCTGTTCCGGCTACAGTCTCTGCCGCTATATTTCACCCACAAAAATACAACAACAACAAGATTCCATTTATAGAGCGCCTTTCACGTCGGGAGGACAGTCAATTCACTTTACCATATATTCTGTGAAGCGCTCGGAGACGTCTGAACAACACGATAAGACGCGATGTAAAATACAAGGATCATTATCGCATATACACATATATATATATTTTGATTATCTAAAAACAGAGGAATACGCACTTCACCACCAGATCACATTATTCCTCTTATCATAACAATAATAATAATAAAAAAAGGTGCAAACGGACAATCAAATCCCCACCTACAAAGACAATGAAATCACCGAAAACACCATTCCTCCCCCCCCAAAAAAAAACAACCATTGCGACGGTGCCCCCGAAGCCTCAGCGGCAGCGACACCGACCAGACTTTCCTGTGTGGAGCAATGTGCACCTGTTGGGGACCGGGGGTCTGTGACCGATGGCCGGTGTGGAGACGGCGGCCACCACAGCACAAAGCCCCCGGGAGGCCGGAGAGGTCCTCCACCGCCTCAGGATCTCCCCCTCTCCCTCCTCTCTCCCTCCGCTCTGCAGTTACAGCGCGTGCTCTGCTCCAGCACATTCGTCAATCCCTCACCCCCCCCTCACCCTCACCCTCCCCTCACTCACCCTCACCCCCTGTCACCCTCACCCTCCCCTCCCCTCACCCCCCCTCACCCTCACCCCTCCCTCACCCTCACCCTCCTCACCCTCCCCCCCCTCACCCTCCTCACCCTCACCCCCCGTCACCCTCACCCCACCGTCACCCTCACCCTCCCCTCACCCTCAACCCCCTCACCCTCACCCCCTCACCCTCACCCCTCCTCACCCTCACCCCTCCACACCCTCCCCCACCCTCCCCCCCCTCACCCTCACCCTCCACCCCCCCTCACCCTCACCCCCTCACTCACCCTCACCCTCCCCTCACCCCCCCTCACCCTCACCCCCTCACCCTCACCCCCCTCACCCTCACCCCCCTCACCCTCACCCCCCCTCACCTCACCCCCCTCACCCTCACCCCCCTCACCCTCACCCCTCCACCCTCACCCCTCCCTCACCCTCACCCCCATCACCCTCACCCCCATCACCCTCACCATCCTCACCCTCACCCCCCTCACCCTCACCCCTCCTCACCCCTCACCCCCCCTCACCCTCACCCTCCCTCACCCTCACCCCCTCCTCACCCTCACCCCCCCTCACCCTCACCCTCCCTCACCCTCACCCCCCCTCACCCTCACCCCTCACCCCCCCTCACCCTCACCCTCCCTCACCCTCCCTCACCCTCACCCTCCCTCACCCTCACCCTCCCTCACCCTCACCCCCCCCCCCTCACCCCCCCCCTCACCCCCCCTCACCCTCACCCCCCCCCCTCACCCTCACCCCCCCCTCACCCTCACCCCCCCCTCACCCTCACCCCCCTCACCCCCTCACCCCCCTCACCCTCACCCCCCCCTCACCCTCACCCCCCTCACCCTCACCCCCCCCTCACCCTCACCCCTCCCCCACCCCCCCCTCACCCTCACCCCCCCCTCACCCTCACCCCCCTCACCCTCACCCCCCCTCACCCTCACCCCCCCTCACCCTCACCCCTCCTCACCCTCACCCCCCCTCACCCTCACCCCCTCCTCACCCTCCCCTCACCCTCACCCCCCCTCACCCTCACCCCTCACCCTCACCCCCTCCTCACCCTCACCCTCACCACCATTGCTCGGCTTTGCCGTTCGCTCAGGGAATGCCCCGGACCTGCAACTCGCGTCCCGGGGCCCGTCCTTCCCTCCGCACAACACAACACAACACAACACACAATACAACACAACACAACCGGCGCTCAGCCATCCCAGAGCCCCCACTGCTCACCGTGTGCGGGGATTACAGGGCGCCGCTGGGGAGGGGGAGGGGGGGGGTGTGAGCTGCTCTGCTCCTCACTCCCAGGCTCTGCTCCTCACTCCAGGCTCTGCTCCTCACTCCCAGGCTCTGCTCCTCACTCCCAGGCTCTGCTCTGCCTCACTCCCAGGCTCTGCTCTGCCTCACTCCCAGGCTCTGCTCCTCACTCCCAGGCTCTGCTCCTCACTCCCAGGCTCTGCTCTGGCTCTGCTCCTCACTCCCAGGCTCTGCTCCTCACTCCCAGGCTCTGCTCCTCACTCCCAGGCTCTGCTCCTCACTCCCAGGCTCTGCTCCTCACTCCTCACTCCCAGGCTCTGCTCCTCACTCCCAGCCTCTGCTCCTCACTCCCAGCCTCTGCTCCTCACTCCCAGGCTCTGCTCTGCTCCTCACTCCCAGGCTCTGCTCCTCACTCCTCACTCCCAGGCTCTGCTCTGCTCCTCACTCCCAGGCTCTGCTCTGCTCCTCACTCCCAGGCTTTGCTCCTCACTCCCAGGCTTTGCTCCTCACTCCCAGGCTCTGCTCCTCACTCCCAGGCTCTGCTCCTCACTCCCAGGCTCTGCTCCTCACTCCCAGGCTCTGCTCCTCACTCCTCACTCCCAGGCTCTGCTCCTCACTCCCAGGCTTTGCTCGTCACTCCCAGCCTCTGCTCTGCTCCTCACTCCCAGGCTTTGCTCCTCACTCCCAAGCTCTGCTCCTCACTCCTCACTCCCAGGCTTTGCTCGTCACTCCCAGCCTCTGCTCTGCTCCTCACTCCCAGGCTTTGCTCCTCACTCCCAGGCTCTGCTCCTCACTCCCAGGCTCTGCTCCTCACTCCCAGGCTCTGCTCCTCACTCCCAGGCTCTGCTCCTCACTCCCAGGCTCTGCTCCTCACCCCCAGGCTCTGCTCCTCACTCCCAGCCTCTGGTTCTCGCTGCACTCACGTCTCGCAGCTCTTTAAACCCAGTCCTGAGCTCGCAAAGCCTGACGCACGCAATGCGACGCTGGTGCTGTGAAAGCGACAGCCTCCATCTACACACACACACACACACATCCCCCCCCCCCCCCCCCCCTCCCAAAGGGCTCACTGTGGCAGATGTTACAACCTACACAAATAACATTTTGGAATTGGCACAAAACATCTGTCCTTTACTTTTCACCTCCTCCCCCCCCTCCCACCCACACCAATCCCTAAATCTCCCCCAAACACGCGCATTCGCTTCAACCAACAATTTTTTTTCTTTTGGCCAAAAAAAAAGTCTTAATTTGATTATACAACCACCATCCCTTCCCCCCCCACTCCCCCACCCCACCCAAGGGCTAGGTTGTCTTGAAGCGTTAACGCGGAATAACATTAATTATCACCTGGAGATAGTTATTGACTTGTAAATGGCTAAATACAAAATATACAGTGAAGTCACTTTACAGCGTATCCTGTGAAGCGCTTTGAGACGTCTCAACAACGTGATCGGGTGCTATAGCAAATGCTATATTAACTCTTTAATAAATGTAATAGTTTCTGAGCAAATAACTGAGAATGTTGGTATGCGGTGGATGGCATCGAATGTGGACTTTTGAAAGACATTTGATAAAGACCGCATAAAAATTGAAAGTATTTCCATTCCTGAAAGAATTAAGGTGCAGTGGATCAATGGAATTGTTGAGACATGGATAGAAAGTTGGGCCTAAGGACACAAAATAGAGAGCATGGGTAAATGGATCTCTTTCAGACTGAAGGAATGTAAACAGAAGTGTTTCCCAGGGGCTAAGAATAGGAACAATGCTTTCTCCATCTATGTATTCACAAGGTCATGTTACCTTCATGTTTTTTTTGACTGACCCAACACCTGAAACATGTGGAAGAATAATGATAATTGTATTTAGAAGTACTTCATTATATTCAACAACAACAACAAAATTACATTTGTGCAGCGCCTTTCACGTCGGGAGGATGTCCCAAGGCATTTATATTCAGTACAAGTGTTTAATAGTATTAGAAGTCCAAAGGATTGGTATGAGAGCCATCATTTTCATGGCAGGTAATGATCCGTCACAAGGTTCGGTGAAACATCTTCAATAAGGAAGGAGGGAGACGCAGAGGAGTAGAGTCACAGGAGAGTCCAGTGACAAGGTAGTGAGAGAGAACTTTAACATCCACCTGAATATGCAAATGCAACCTCTGTTTAATGTCTCATCTGAAGGATGGCACCTCCAACATTGCAACGATCCTCCCTCTCAGGAGTAAGAAGATTTACTTATGAGGAAAGACTGGAAGAAGTGAGGCTGTTTCCCCCTAAAACAGAGATTGTTGAGAGGAGAGATGATAGAGGATTTTAACATTTTGAGGCGTTTTCATAACGTAAACAGAGAGAAATTATTTTTACTGTCAGTGAACTTGTAATTAGAAATCACAGTCCCTCTACACCCTTTCACCCACAAACTACACAGTCACTGTGGTAAACCCTGGCTTAAATTCTGACTTAGCAAGACTGAGCCTGAAATGAAAAAATTTTAAAAATTCTGCAGGCCCACACATCATGTAGAATCCTGCCGACCCTCTTTCCTAGCACATGCCCCCACCTCCCCGTGCTCGCTGGCCTTCAGTGGCCAGGGATATCGGCTTTGACTCATTTTAAATCCTACCAGCAGAAGATGGCTTCCTCACTATCTCCTTCTCCCGTGATTCAAACAATTATAATGTCAGTACTGGCATTTTTCAGCACTGAAAAAAGCAGACACCAAAAAAAGCCAGTAAATGCCGGTCCAGCTTTGTAATTACACTTAGCTGGAAATTCCGGATGATCAAACCGGATCTCTCCCCTATTGGATCAGCAAGCCAGGGTTTTGGAGTACTTACAATATATCCCGTGAAACTCTTTGAGACATCTCAACAATGTGTGAAAGCGCTTTATTAAATGCAAGGATTATTATTATTATAAATTGTTTGAATCGGGCAGAGATTGTGCCAATGACTCATTGAGAACAGTTTCACACTGAGTGATCGATGTCTGCTCAGAATGGACCACAGAGTCATCAGAAGCTGGAGGACAGGTAAGCCTAGAAAGGAAGAAGGCAGACAATGTGCCAAGGAGAACAGAGGCCTACGGGAGGAAAACCATGTGAAAAGCTGAAGCAAGCTTAAAAGCAAGAGCATTAACAGGCAAAGAGGTGTAAGTCAGCCATTGTCAGCATAATGAATTTGAGGACAAGTAAAACGTACTTTGATGTGTGCAAGGGAAAAAGGCCAAAGTTAGCAAAGGAAGAGAGGATCAACAAACATGAATAGTGGAAAAGGGCAACGATTGTTAAAGAAAGAAGAGAATGGGTGTTGGTATAAGGTGATCCTTCCTCCCTCCAGTTTCCTCATGGTTTTTGTTCATTTGCACAAGATTCCACCCCTCATTGAGACCTCACTGATCACATACACCAAACACCATTCGCCTACAAAATACACAGCCAATACACTTTACAGTAAATCCTGTGAAATGCTTTGAGATGTCCTCCCGATGTCAAATGTTCTATATTATTTGGAAATATTATTATTATCATTATTATTAATAATTAGGACTATGGAAAAGAGCGTCTCTTTCCTTGATTGGTGTACTTAATATTGGACAAGATTCAACCAAAAGTTAGCTAGTTATGAGTCCCATGACAGCATTGCCCCACCAAATTTAAGGCAGAGATGTTGCCTTCTGACTCCCTTGTATTGCTGGATAGTATTCTCTTTTAAGTGATGAATACAAAATACCATATTGGTTGAAACAAGATCATAACAAGATGATTATGTTCTTATGTGTGAAAGGCACTATATCATGCAAGTTGTTGTCTGTGTGTAATAGCAGTGATGAAAGTGAGACTGAGCTCTACTGAGCCAAATACAGGTTCCATTTCCTTCTTCAGATCCTAGAAAACTTTGGCCATTTATAGCCTTTGATCCAGAATAGCAACAAATGGAATTCTTGTACAGCATGTTCTGAGCAGCAACAACTATCAAACCAACAAGTTAATATTTTATCCAGTTGACTCCTCTGTACGACACTGAAACCTGATCCTTTTGGGACATGTTGTTCAAGGAGGGTTTTGGTTATTAGCTTGAAGAACAGAGTGTCCAAGGCAGTAATGAGTTAGAATAGTCTGTATGTGGTAAATGGAGAATGTTACAGAAGAAAGATTGAGATGAGTGGGGTGACGGACCCTCATAAATGAAGATCAATAACCTAGGATGCTGCAATAGTTGAAAAGGTCCCAACTGGACCAACAACAACAAATTACATTTGTGTAGCACCTTTCACATCAGGAGGATGTCCCAAGGCACTGGACAGTCAGGATCTACTTGAAAGACTAAGTGGAGATATTGTGCAACCCTTTCGAGATTTAATTTGCAGGATTGAAGATATATGTACACCTCCATGTCTCATTGTTGAGACACACCATCTAGTGAAACATAAACATTGCACGCTTTTATTTTTAAAAAAATAAATGGTTTGAATGATAAATGGGAACCACAGTACCTGTCCATATAGTACCATCCTTCCTGTTAGGGCTCTGACTTGAGGATGGATGTGTCTAAATCTTTAAATCTCATCAAAGAACCTAACAAAAAACAATAGATCTTGCTTTCTACAGATCTGCCTACAATCTCTCTTTAGGGTAATTCAGAGGTAATTCAGATATAGAGACCCCACTTATCTCCTTCGCAAAGGAACTCATTTTTATTAACTTTCATGAAGTTGTAATAGACTCTAATTCACTCCTCCACCCCATCCTTCAGAAGGGACGTTAAACCGAGCTCCTGACAGTCGTGACTGTTCAGGTGGACATTAACAATCCCACGCACTGCTCAATGAGACAAAGGAGTTTCTCCCCATGTCCTGGCCAACAATCCCCAAAATAAAATTAGCCATTCACTTTATGGCTGTTTGTGCGACATTGCTGTGTGGTGCACAATTGGGTGTCACAGTCGCTCACCGCACATTACAGTAAATTTTCTGAAGCACTTTATGATGCCCTCACAACGTCAAAGTCACCATATCAAATTATAAAGATTATTATTATTTTATTAACTGCTTAACCCATCACAGAGAA